AATCCATTGACGATACCTCAAAGAACCACCAAGTCAACGACCTCGCCGTTCTACTACTACTACTACTCCCCTTCCTCCACATGAGTTCCATCGAATCTCAGCAATACCTCAAGGCCATCCTCCGGGACAAGACAGACAACAGCAAGACAAGCGACAATAAGAACAACAGCAGCACGATGTCTGGCTCCTTCTACGAATCAGCTTTTGTGATCCCTCACATGCAGGCTTCTGCCATGCCTCGTAGGCCTCGCCAGCCTGCACCGGCACCGCGAGCAACTGTCGGCGCCATGTCCTCAGAGTCAACGCTCGTCGACAAGGACGGCGTTCCTGTGATGTCCAAGGAGAAGAACGAAGCCAACGGTGACATCTCTGGTAAGTTGTCTCACTTATTGCAGTCTACTCTTCTTCGAGTCTCCTATCTCATTACCTTCGGCCTCATATGGCCTACCGGTTACTCTGATCAGGAATGTCTGGCTTCGATAACTCTAGGACCTAGCTCTCTAACGTAGACTTCTACAGGTTCATCATCGTCGAGCAAGAATCTACTCAAGCGTCTTTTGAAGAAAGCTTGAGTTAATTTGCAGATACAAAAGACTCAATTGGTCAGACAATTCGCGCTCTACCGCGTCACATGGAACTTTGGAGCTCCGGGCTAGCGTCAGCCTCCTGCTGATCCTTCTACCCTATTACCACGACTACTGCAAATCACTCGAGCGCTCATACCCGTAACGGGCGCATGGCTGCAGTCTTACATCGGACCATATGCATACACGTTCTAGCCTGGTGGTTTCCATCAGATGACCAGCCGCACTTGCGTTGTTACCAGGTTCATTTGGCCAATAGTACGACCATGCATTGATCCTGCACCGCGACTTAGTGCTCCTTCAAACACATACACTCTTTAATCATAATCCGACATCCAACTCGATGCAGCTGGGAGAGTACACGTTGGCTTGGGGGCGAGTCGGCTTAATATTGCCTCATTCTGTCTCTTACACTTTCGAAGCCGCGGAGGACAGGGTTGAGCTGAGTTTAACCAAACATTGCGGCTCTTGATGAACAATATGACCCTGGGAGATGAAAGTCGGCCTGGAATAAAGTTTTTGAGTCGGAAAGACCACAAGGGTTGGTTTGGCCTGAGCCTCCAAGGCCAGAGTTTTCACGCAACGCCTCGTAACCTTTGCGACTGCAACTTGTTTTCCATGGTAGTTTAGACTTCTACAAAATCAGAAAACAGATTCCGTTTATTCATTCAAACCCTATGAGGGTCACGAAATGTGAAAGTTTTGAGTTGCAGCACACAATCCTGGTTGTCATTTACTCAGTGCCTTTGGCAAAACGCAGGTCAATCCCTTCAACAATCGCTTGAATGTCTGATCAGTCGTCCTAAACTTTCAGTCACGCCCATCATGATCTGCCGGACCATTCTTCTCACTATGTTGTGCATGGCATCGCTTTTCAGCGTCGCACTTGCCCAAGCATCTCAACGTCCTTCTCTGGATAATGCAAGGGACCCCCTCAACTGGTGCGGCCAGGATGAGAAGGTTCATGCGATAGGAAGAGAGGACGACTTGGCCGCTCTTGAGGCATTCTCTAAGCGCTCCTTGAACACTGAACAAGCCTCGATTCACATACCTATCAATGTCTTCCTGGTCGGAACGGAAGAACAGCGAAGTTCGGTCAAATATGTGACTATCCCACCACCCACGACTTCAAGTCTTCCTGCGAACGAATATACTGACTTGGATTATTTATCTAGAAAATCGAAATCCGTCATATTGGGACCACTCTCAACGAAGGCTACGCTAAGCACGGCATCACCTTCGGCCCGATCGAGACATACGAGGTCGCCAACGACACATACGCCAACATGAACCACATGGAGCACCGGCATGACAAGACCCGGGAAATGCAGAGAGCGCTTCGCATCGGTGGGCCTGAAACGTTGAACCTGTACATTGTGCCGAAATTGGATACAGGACTCCTTGGATACGCCGCCTTTCCCGACTTATTGACAAATCCTTTCGGTATCGTGGGAGCAACAGGGACGTGGTTCGATGGAGACGCCGTCGTCATCGGCCACAGCGCTCTTGACGGCACTCTGTTTGCAAAGGCCGTGATTCACGAAACGGGACACTGGCTGGGGCTCTACCACCCGTTCCAGGGCTCCTGCAAGATCCCCAACGGCGACTACATCCCGGACACGCCGCAGTCGCGGCACGAGAACTACGCGTGTAAGGCCAAGGACACGTGCCCTGAGTTCCCGGGCGAGGATCTGGTTTGGAATTATATGGCTTACTCGTCGTGGTGAGTTGAATCTTCCTGCGCACGTGATGAAACGGTGATGCTGATGGTGAATGCAGTGACAAGAACCTATCTTTCACCCCAGGCCAAGCGTAAGTGACAATCTACGTCTCTATACCCCCAATCTTTGACTGACACATTGTGTCGTAGCCTTTTCATGCGTCAGTCTTGGTACAGTTTCCGCGACCCCAAAACCAGAGACCTTCCCGCCGAATCGCGAGTCCCTTATCGAACGACACCTAACAAGGATATGATTGTCCGTTCAAGATTTGGAAATGCGTAGTTGTTCTGCGCGTCTCAACTTTGTGTGACAGGTCGAACAGCGTTCGAAGCCTGGAGGACCAGTCCCGACAAAATGGTGCGAAAAGGAAGTGTGCGGAACGGGCTGTAGTGTTGATGGATTGAAGGTTTCTTTAGCGAGCCTGGCTGTGAGTACATCAAGCAGAATTCAAACCTGAGAACGAGGCGTGGTCTGGTGTGAGGCTAGTCAAATTCAACTTCTGCTACTTGCTGCGCTTCTTTCCGTTCTTCACTTGGAACCTTATAATTACGGATACATCTGAGTTCGGTTACAAGAGCCTTAGTCCGCGATGCCGTGCAGCCCCACTCCGGCTCCGGCCCAGATCCGCGGGAGCGACATCGGAGGTGGCCTCAAATTCACAATCGCTAGAACCATGCATGCCTCTTTTCTTCTTCCTTTTGTCAAGTGATGAGTTCCTGTTTGAGACCATTTCCGTTGCCTTTGAGTACGAATGAACTGTTGGCGGCATTCACTCAAACAATACAAACGTCGAACCGAGCCTGTATCTGGCTAGCGGGCCTATGCCTCCAAGTGGTAGACTTTGAGAGCTTACCACTTGGAGAGATGAAACCGCCTAATTGTAACAAGACGATTCTCACGGTGCTATATGCCTGGTCGGAGGGGCAATATTTCGCTGAGAGATGAGAGCTCAACTGAGCAGGCCTTACAGAAAATCGGCTTCAGTTGTAATCACCTGGAGGCTTTCGGTGTCAAACAGTTTCTTCACATGCATTCGATACACTTTGAACTTCCCTTTCCGAGGTTACACTGAGACTATCATTGTACTTGAGCCAGGTCATTATTCAACATAAATGAACGAGAGGCAAACCAGCCAAACTGACATGTACGCCTTTTGGCTGGTTGTGGCCGTTGTGACTAGGATTTCCCGCAGTTGTAGGGCGTGGCTCTAACCAGACCTGGGTACTTGTTAACCCCGCTGTGGGATGTCCCACTCAGCCCCGCGAATCTGCTATGAGGCCCCCCACGTCAAGTCGAGTCTTTTTCAGCTTCACTTGCTTCTATTACTTCAGATAGCCATTTGTCACACTTCTCATAAGGACTCAGAAGTGTTCTCGGCCGTACTCAGAAAGTTTGAGTGTTGGTGTACTAGCTGAAACGCAAGTCACCGAGCCACTCACTACTGCCATCTCATCTCACCACCCGAGAAACAGCCTTAATTTCATCTACAAACTTATCCTTCATTGTCACTCAATCACTTTCACCTGCGCAGCCTAACATGGCCGACCTCATTGTAACCCAACACGGGTCCGAAAAGGAAATCAAGTTCGCCTCCTCAACACCCGCCCAGCGTGAGGCCGCATGGCGCCTCAACGGCGTCTCATGGGCCCCTCCAATGTCCCTTGAGAACTACATGGCCCGCGAAGTCGCGCTCTCTAAGACGGCCCTTTCATCTCAGTGCAACTACTACGTCCTCTTCAACCCGGCCGACCCCGAACACATCATCTCATCCTGCGAAGCAACCGCGAAGACCCTCCTTGTCCGCGATGCCTCCTCTTCGACCCCCCGCGAGGAAAAGGCCTACGCCATCGCCTCCGTTTACACTAACCCGACCTACCGCAGCCACGGCATGGCAACGCGGCTACTGAACAGCCTAAAGGAAGCCATGGACGCTGACTCCAAAGCCAGCGCGCTCTACAGCGACATTGGTCTCACGTACTACGCCCGCCTCGGCTGGGCCGTCTACCCGTCACTCCAAGTCTCCCTCATCCCGGACGATGCTTCAGTCCTACGCAAGCCCGACGGTGTGCGATACCTCGAGGAAAGCGACGTCCCCGCCTACTGCGAAAAGGACGTCGAGCTTCTAAAGAAGAAGCTTGCGAACCTTCCGGAGGACGGAAAGACGCACGTCGCCTTCGCGCCCTCGGCCCACCAGATGCTCTGGCACTTTACGCGAGACGGCTTCATGGCCAAGCAGCTCGCCGGTCGCGAGATTACGCACCGCGGGGCGGCTACCGTTGACGGTAAGGCGTGGGTGTACTGGGACCACGACTTCCGCGAGAAGAAGCTCAAGGTCCTCCGCGTGGCTGGCGACCCGGAGGCCGACGTGACCGCGCTGCTGCAGGCTGCGGTGATTGAGGCCGCCGAATGGGGGCTCGCCAAGGTGCTGGTCTGGAACCCTGATGAGGGCGTCTCGGCTTCAGCCAAGAGGGTGAGTGACAGGACTGAGGGTGCCGTGCGGGTCGTCTTTGACGAGAGACTCGATGGCAGCATTCCCAGTCTGCGGTGGAAGGGCGAGGGTGAGGTCGTGTGGGAGGATAATGAGTATTATGCGTGGTGCTAGATGGCTATGGGAAAGCATATCATTGATGACCTCATTAAGTTGCGGTTTCTCCATAGATACTCAAGAGTTTTGGATGTCAACACAAAGATCATTCTACTCTTCCGTCTCTTGCAACGCCAGCGCTTTGATCAAACCGACAAGTCCGATTTCAATGGCATTCGTCATTCCATCAGCGACCAACTCCTGGTTTCCAGAAAACGAATCCTTCCACCGCCCGCCCTTACCAAAGTATACATCGACGAAAGGGAAAGACAAGCCTTTCGCGCTTTCCTTTCCTCCCGAGCCTTCATTGCGATAGTCTTCAAGCATCGCAGACGTTAGTTTCTCTACATTCTCACAAAACATCTCAGCCGTCCCTGGCTTTATGGCTTCTTGCACATCGACCCATATTGCCTCCCGCTGCGCAAACGTTAGTTGCGAGCCAAGCTCCTCGTCTTGCTCAAATACCAGCAAAGACAACTTGCCCTCGAGCCGCTTTTTCCTTTCGGGAGGGAGATGAATGTCGACAATGTCAATGTGCCGCTGGATCTGCTCTCGCATGCAGTTCATCGACCAGGTGGCCGCTGTCCACTTTCCGACCACAGTGACCCATCGTTCGATTTCAGTCTCTGAAAAGAACGACTGACTTCTGACCGGCGCTTCTCGGGCGGCTCTTTTAGCCGCGTCGTGTATCTTTTCTATGACTTGCGTGAGAGCAATACCAATGACGGCGTATCGTACTTCCCGCCAGACGGTCTCCCACAGAAGGCTCCGGATAGTGTCCGAAATCTTCCGCTCAGGATTTATTTCCAGTAGCAGCACGTGGTGCATCGCGTCCGTTGTCGTGAGTCGCGGGTGAACATCGTACTTGTCATCGAGATTTACGACATCATCCGTTCTTGCAAAGTTGTCATTGAAAGGATGGATGAGCGTCACATTGACAGGCGGCCCCTTCCAAATCTTCGCCATCCGTACAAATTTACCGACAATGGCAAACTCCTGCTTCCCGACGGATCCGATGGTGATGTAAATCATGCAACCTTCGAGGACCCTTGTAAGGTAAGAAAAGAAGTTCCAGAGGGACGCCACACTGTTGTTAGCCTCCTTGAACTGGTCCAAGTCGATCTCGGCGTCAATCATGACCTCTGTCTTCTGGACGAGGATCTGGTCCACGAGTGACGCTATCGCTGACTGTGCTGTCATCCCGCGCGTCCAGATCAAATACGCCGAAGGGACGTGCGACGCAAACTTGCGCTGCTGCTTCTTCCAAACCAATGCGTGCTGCGGATCCGGGGCGTCGCACTCTGCCTGTATAACTTTTGTCTCATGGGAATATCCCGACGGAACATATTTCTGCTCCATGCTGAACCATTCGATCCACGCTTTTGACGTGGTGACCTCGTATGTGGCTTGCAGCTCCTGGTGGAATCCGGCTTGGACTTCGAAATTCTTGAACAGATTCTTCCGTATCGCTTGGAAGAGGTCTGCTGTAGGGTTTTCGGCGACGGCTAGGACAAGTTAGCAGGATATCTCCGTTCCCACAACGTCACCTTGCGTACATTTGAAAGCCTGGCGCATCGTATGCCTTTGAAGCGGCAATACAGTCCGGTATCTATCTATGGCGTGGTTTACCATTGCCTGCCTGATATGGAAACATAGCTCTGCGTCCTCGCGGATGTCTCGTTGTGTCTTCTTCATCTTCGCCACCAGTTCTCCATATCTGACCTCAAAGGGTTGTAAAAAGGTCGTCATCGCGCGCTCTGTACCTTGGTAAGTAGTTGGAAAGTCATATAAAGTACTTAGCTTGACAACTAACTGAGAATACTTTTCTCTGCATTCTTCGCATCTCTTATGACCTTGTCCAGAAACTCAACGATCGCCGCATACAATTCGGACGAGAACTCAAGCATTCTCGGAGTCGGGTACAGCGCAATGTACCCTCGTATCCTTTCCAGGTCCCGCCCAATGTCAATCATCACATCGATGACTTTGGAGAGAACGTTTGAGTTGTTCTTCGTCACCTATTTTTCCGGTGAACAGATGTCATCTGCAGAGAGTCGTGATTTCCTACCAGTAGCACAAACTTCAGACCGCCCCAGATCAACGGTAGACCTGAGAACTCTGCTTGTGACAGAATATCAAAGACTCCCTGGTAATGATCCAAGCACTCGATAAGTTTCTTCGTCTTTCCCTCCCCTAGCTTCGCCTCTCTAGTCCGTTGTATGTCCCAAGCAATCCGATGAAGATCTGCTTTGGGGTCACTCTGCTTGCCAACGGTACTCTGGGATAGAACTGTGGCAACTTCATCCTTATTGAGATAAGAGTGAAGTGAATTTACGGCGTTTCTGTATGCTATCTCGGCTTTTCTGTGATGTCTTTCAGCCAGTACTCCTTTCGAAACCGCTGACAACAATGCAGTTCTTCCAACGGAAGAGCCCGAGTTTCCAACACAAAGCCGCCTCCTCGGAGCAAACTTACTCGAATGTCATGCGATCAGCTCCTCTCTCGTCTTCTGTCGCATCCTCAGAGAAGCGCCGAAAGACCTCGTTATGGGGTTCCCAGCGGATGATTGGGCTCGATGCACTCTTCGGGCTCCCGCCATCACGGCTCCAAGATGGCGTCCGAAAAACGACGCTGGTGTTCAAGGAGGGAAATCGATACATGTCGCCGGAACATGTCGGCGAAGCTTGAGAACCAGTTCACAAAGGTAACGAAAGTTCTCCAAGAGGTTGATAGGCTAGCGGCGTACTGTGTATCTAGAACCTTAATTGGCTGACCGCCTAGGATGAAATAGCTGAAATTCCATTGAGCTTTTTGATCCTTTTGAAGATCACCAGTGAGAGACTCGATACGATGAACCCCTAGACCTCCTTTACACCAGAGTTAATAGTAGAGTACCACCACGACTATTCAGGGGGAACCTCGGAGACCTTGACAGGGCCCTCCGACTACATCTGTTTCCCTCTGATTCACGTCTGCAGAACCTGGGGGATCACGAGACGAGGGTGATGAGACAGAAAGGAGAGGGTAAGCTTATAAAAATTGCTTGTTTTCTCAAGGCCGCCAATCGGTGTGAGCGCAGCTTCCGCGTTTTCCTTGGTGGCGCCGGCTTGTGTCACGAACAGGAACCATGCCTTTTTGTGCTGAGGCTGGTGCTTTTCGACTGCTGAGGCCTCTGACCATGGACTATCGGCGGTCTGGACGCAACAGGAGACACAATATGAGGTCGTATTCCCAGCTGAGGGCTGATTGTGTTACCAACTACCATCATTCACGATAGGCTTTCCGAGGAAGACCTTGGAGACGAGCTCCAATGCCTACACTGAGACGTGTTTCTGACCTCGATTCTTTTCCCGACACGATACTAGTAAGAGGAATGTGACGCCATCCGCCACTATTCACACAGCGTGCAAGGATGCCGATATTGTCGAGTATTGGATGGCTAAGTAAGCGGTTGACAAACTGGAATGCTGGTTAATGCGCCTCTTGGCTATCAGCTTGCTTAAAACTACTACGATAGTTACGATCATCGTAGTACGCTTTTCATAGCGTGATTCTCAATGAGTATGGAAACAACATGAAATTGAAATAGTAGTAATAGCAGTAGCAGTGATAGGAACGCTAAAAAGAGAGGTAAGGTATTGAGCAACAACCTAGTACCTATTGTGTAGGTATCCCACTTGCTCAGCTCTCCAGCCACACGACTTCGAGCTGGTTTATTGAATGTAGAAAATAGACTAGCGCATATTCCAGCCGTGACAGACTTGACAAAGCAGCGGCTTCTGCCGTCGAACTAGTATTGGCTTTTCTATGCTGGTAGAGAGGCCCATAGGCGAGGAACGAAGTCAACAGTGAGAACTAGGTGCTCTGGGTACAAAATTACGCCAGTGATGCTATAAAGTATGTAGAGATCGTGCCTAGTAGGCGATGCTCACTACGTCGAAAGGCACGCTCAGGTAAGAGAGGCAGATGGACAGAAGTCATAGACTAAGGTGACCCTAATATTGGCCGCGAGTCCGAGGAGAACCCCGGGAATAGAGCTCATTTTAGCCTGTACACCAAGTGGGTCATGCGGACCGGAGCCACGCCGTGCTCGGCCCCGTTTCCAGACTGACGGGCCAGTGACAGGTCGAGTGATGGACCCTGAAAACGGGGGATGCAGCAAAGCGGAGCGCCACGTGACTCTATCGCTGCGATAAGCTAATGTTGCCATCAAGGTGGTCCGTCACAGGGGTTCGAGTCCCGGTTGCGATTTTGGGATCCAAAGAAATTAAGTGGAAGAATTGTTCGGCTCGGCGTTTACTTCAAGCAAGAAGAGGTTACGTCTCACAAACATCACGGGTCCATGACCTAGGAACGATCTATACTTCGCCTTTTGCCCTCCGGCACCTCCCGTCAAACCATGTCGATACGCCGTCCCAGCGCAAGGTCCCGGGCGGACCGCGACAACACGAGTCTCCTTGCCCCCGATACGTATGACGACGACGCCTCATCCATCCACAGCACGCGAAGCGACCAGGACAGCGACAGTGACGATGACCAATTGCAATTGCGTGCGCGGAACAGCCGCGAGCTGCGTGCCGCCGACAGTCTAGTCTTTATGGAAGAAGAGGAGATCGAGAGTCTCGTAGAGGAAACACGCAAGAAAAAGGAGCTGCAACGCCGAGGATCTGGCCTCGCTGTCCCGAATCCCCTGAAGCTATTCGGTCGAGGCCCAGACGGCCAACGGCCCGGATCCAGAGATGGCTCATCCGAAAATCTCCTTGACGAAAAGGACAGACGCCAACAGCGACGTATGAGGAGGAAACAGAAGAAGGACCGGCTGCTGGAGAAGGCGACCCACGGCGAGGACGGCGAGCTGATGTACGAGATGGAGGAAGGGGCCATGAAGGAGGGGAGCTCGACCGGGGAAAGCAGCGAAAGGGACGATAGCGACGAACTCGATCGACAGAGACTCAAGATTGTGACCAATGCGAAGACCGATAAGAGGAGGACTTGGCGCCGTTGGCTGCTCATACACAGCATGATTGCCGTCGGTTTCGCGATCCTGTTTCTGGTGGCGTGGAAGTTGTCAATCGGCAGTAGGTCAGCACACAAGGCCGAGTTCGTCAGCAATGGCACGGCGCTCTTCGCGCCGACGACGATCATTATCAGTCTTGACGGCTTCCGCGCCGATTTTCTGCAGCGCGGGATCACACCGAGATTGAACGCTTTTGTAAAGGAGGGTGTTTCGCCAAAGTACATGCTCCCGGCTTTCCCGTCCGTCACATTCCCGAATCACTACACGCTGGCGACTGGCCTTCACCCCGAGAGTCACGGTATCGTTGGAAACACTTTCTGGGATCCGGACATGCAGGCCGAGTTCTACTACACCGACCCAGCACGCAGTCTCGATGCGAAGTGGTGGAGTGGAGAGCCGTTTTGGGTGACAGCCGAGAGGCAGGGTATTCGTTCCGCGATCCACATGTGGCCGGGCAGTGAAGCGCACATCCTCGGTGTTGAGCCAACATTCCTCGACAAGTTCAATGGCAAAGAAGTACTAGACAACAAGGTCAGCAGGATCCTCGAGTTTCTTGACAAGCCGGGCATGGAAGACAAGACTGCCAAGGTCGAAGACATGCGCCCACAGCTCATCGCTGCCTATGTGCCCAACGTCGACGCGGACGGCCATAGATACGGACCGAACAGCACGGAGATCCGGGTTTCCATCGAGTCGGCCGATGCTATGATGGATCAGCTCTTCCTGGCTCTCGAGCAGCGCAATCTTACCAACATTGTCAACGTCATTGTCGTATCCGATCACGGCATGGCCACAACAGATACGGCGCGCCTGCTTCAGCTTGAGGACCTCGTTGACACCTCCAAGATTGAGCATACCGACGGCTGGCCGCTATACGGTCTTCGACCGAAGAACCCAGATGACCTTCAGGGGCTATATGATGGCTTGGTCGAGAAGTCCAAGACGAATCCCAACTTTGAGGTCTACCTCCGCGACGTCAACATGCCCGAGCGCTACCACTTTTCCAAGAACAAGCGTATTGCACCCCTGTGGATCGTTCCCAAGGCTGGATGGGCTATTGTCACAAAAGAAGAGATGGATGTGGAAAAGGCGCTGAAGGATGGTACGGTCTACAACCCCCGCGGATTGCATGGATACGATCACGAGCATCCCCTCATGCGCGCCATCTTCATCGCCCGCGGACCGGCTTTCCCGCATCCGCCAAACAGCCAGATCGACAACTTTCGTAAGTGTGACCCGCAAGTGTCGTGTCATACTATGAGCTCGGACTAACGTCAGTAGAAAACATCAACGTGTACAACATCCTTTGCGATTCCGTCGGTCTGATTCCAGAGCCCAACAACGGCACCCTGCGCCTGCCGCTCACCACTATGGGTACTCACAAGTCCGAGGACACGCCCCCAGAGCCCGAGGACCCTGTGCCCCCATACACCACCACCCAGGTCCCCGCTCCTGCCAGCACACCACCAGAGGGACAGTCGGCTACCCCTGATAAGTCCATTCAGGTGGACCCCGTTCCCCAGCCAACGCCATCCGCGCCGGCTTCGAACGATGACGAGAAAGGAGATGATGAAGAGAGCGACGGAGCCGATGAAGACGCCATGCAGAAGGGCAAGGAAGCCATGATTGGAGTTTGGGATTGGCTCAAGGATAAGTTTGGAAAGGTTTGGGACAAGATCAAGGGATCAAAGGGGGATAAGGAATCAAAAGAGAAGGATGGATCGGAATGATTTCCTGTGTAGAATTGGGTACATGATTTGGCGTTCACGGGTGGGAGGCATATTGTGGTTTTTCATTGATACTCCCGGCGATTTTCTGTATTTTCTATAGACTGAAATCCCCCAAGGTTGTTGTTTCTTCTCTTTGCTTCCTCGTCCTAACCTTTCTTTCCGGCCAATACACTCAGTTGGCATCTTCTGTAGCTGCTCGTTTGATGTAGGTCCAGCCTCAAATTCCCAGGCCCCGCTATGAATCCCTAGCATTAGATCGGGAATTTCAGGTACGCAATCGAGATATGACTTACCAGTGCTAGACTTCAGACTCTGAGGGTCCCCACGATTGAAGAAATAAACCTCATCCACCATGGGCCAGGTTCTACTCTAGAAGTAATCCGCCTGGCTTGATCATGCCGCGCATGTTGCCCTTCACATCCGCCTTCTCGTAACCAAAGTCCACATAGTCGCGATGAATCAAGTAAGCGTCAACCGAAGGCGTAAAATTGCGACCGACTTTCTTCACTACGATCAGTTCCGGAACATTGGTGTTAAACATCTCCCCAACTAGCATTTCATCCTCGTAGAAGGGTGACATGGGTTCACGCGTCAACTTCTTGGTCTGAACGAAGTTGGGATCGTCGTCTGTCCAATCCTTTGTGACACGGAGTCCAATGCGAAGAATCCGGGTTGGAACATCGATCTTGGAATGACCGGCAGGAAACATATCGCTGAGACCATTAGGTGTCATCGTGAGGGGCGTGATGGTAGCCCATTCGTTGCCATAGTGTCCGTCGAACTCTTCGCTGACATGGAACCACGCAAACGTGTTCTTCTTGATCTCTCGAAAGAGGCGGGTGCTCGGGTGGAAGAGGAACGCGAGCGATGCCTTTTCCATCGTCCAGTCCTCCTTCAGCTGGACGGCAACAGTCCTCTCGGTAGCCATACTGACAGTCGATGTTCAGCTTTGATTGGATGTGGCTGCAGGCTAGTTAGACTGTAAAGACGGAATGAAGAAGCTGCGGATTTACCTGTTCGAAAGTACTGGGAAGGCAGACTAGTTCTTTCGCAGTTGCTGATTTTGGGAAGAGAATTATGTTCGCCGAGAGACAGTGGGTGGGATATTTAGAAAGTTGACAATTTGAAAAGGAGATGTCCTTTTATACTGCCCGGTAAGATGGATGTGAAGGAAGAAAGGAAGGAAGGAAGTCAAAATCCTCTTGGGGCACCCATAATACCGAAGTGTTGCTTGAAAAATTGCGTGGGGAAGGTTCGAATTGAAAAGAGACAGTTTTTCAGAATTACGAAGGAGATGGAGGCCACATTAAGATGTGTATTCCAGAGATTGGTTGGCGAAGTATTCAGCAGGAAACCCATAGTGAAGGATACGTATCTTACTCCCCATCCGTATCCTCCACATACACGCGTCTTGATCACTCCGAAAGGCTTCTGGTTACCCCTAATCCAGCGCGGCGTCCTCTCTCGGTCTTGGCTCTGGTTGAGTCTCGGACTGCAGACCAAGCAATGGTACAAATCTAGCAAACTAAACTCTACCCATGTCCAAGAATCAATATCACTTACCGAGAATGTCAACACTGACGCGCAACCAATCATTTAACTGGTTCTTGCTGGTAACAGAACCGGCTGTTTGCAAGCCATACTCGACAAAGTCGCGGGGAATAGCTTGCTTGACACCAGAAACCCTACAGCCCGAATGTTTACCGGCGCTAGGGTAAAGCTTCTTGATCACGTTGATATCGGGCACGTCGATGGCAAAGTGGTCGCAAACAGCTATATCGCCGGCCTTGGAAGATTCCTTCTCAGCCTGAGTGGTATTGGTGCTAGTCTTTGTGCTAGTCTTAAGCATGATGGGCGTCACGCTGTCAAACTCCGGAACACCTGGTCCATGATCCTTGACAATTCGAATGCCGATGCGGAGGAATGGGGTGGGGACGTCGACCCTCGCGTCGACCCTGGGGAGTATGTAGGCGAGGCCAGTCTCGGGCTGTTGAACAGGCCGAATGGTGGTGAGGGGGCTGTCAGATAGACCTCGCGGCTTCTGACTTAAGGTGACAAGGGCCTTGGTGCCTGCGGCAAGGCTATGAAAGGGCCTTGTGGTCGGGTGGACGAGGAAGGCGCAACTAGCACTGTATTCGGTCCATTCTTCCTTGGGCCGAACTGTTACTCGAGGAGCGATGTTCGAGGTGCTCCCTGGGTGCTTCGCGATAGGAGTTTGTTCAGGGGGAGGCTCGGAGGCGGAGGACGACATCCTCAATGTGTTGTTGGCATTGGTGAACGCATCCAGGGGAAGTTCTGTCGGCGGGGGACCATATCTTCAGCGTATTGGAGTAAATATGAGACGAAAGCGCTCGCGAATGACTGTAGTGACCGTAACCGAAAGAAGCGTGGGAGATTAGAACCAGATCTAGCTTTGGAGATTTCAGATCTAGTACTCATGGGAGGAGCTCTACGGTTGCCTTACACGCAGTCTGGTACGGAGAAGAAGCAGTATCTCTTACGTTGCCTTGAGTGTCTTGGCAGATGAAAGAAAGCCGATTTATCAAAGACCACAAAAAAAGAGTTCACCACTGGTGTGGCTACATCTCTTGGTGCTCATGCTGGGATTCGAACTCCGGTACTCGCTAAGCCTGTCGTCAAGTAGGCTGGTTGGCGTATAATTGATTGTCGACCTTAGTGGCTCGACTGACTTCGATGTGAGCGTAGTCGAAGCTGCTCCCGGCGGTCGCCTTTGACCGCCACTCGCAGAAGAGTAGAGAAAAGCAGCAGCGTCCTACGAAACAGAGACACTGTTGCCGGGCCTTTAACACATTGCAAACGCCCTTGATATTGAAATCTGAGAATTATACAACATGGCTCAATCATGTCTTGCAGGGAAGTGCAGTTTTACTGGTCATAAGTTCCTGGGAATTGCAACTATACCTCAAACTGGTACTACAGGATGAGGGACCCTCGAAGCCTGGGATTCTGTTGATGCATCCTGCTCCGGAAGCCATAAGAGAAATTTCCTGCCTGACCTGCGAATGTTTTGTTACAACTTCGCTTCTCCTGCCCCTTGAACATCCCATAGAACATGCAGTCATTACCGACTATATCGCCGTTAGCTTGCTGATCTGATTCATGAGCCCGAGAGCGCAGCTGACCGAAACAGACGCAAACTGATGCCATTCCCAGTTCCAAGCATTCCGGGGTGAGATCAAAGCTTTGGGCCAAAGGTTCGATTTTTTGGGCCGGGTGGCAGCCCATACCTCACAAAGCTATAAGGAATAAGACAGTGTCTTCTCTGTTCATCGACAGTCCAACCTGCGCCATGGACCCTGAGAATCATGGGAGGGTGCATGGAGAAGTCCTCGTGCGTGGCTATATCGCCCTTCAAGAAGATGCCTACTTCTCCGGGAGGATATCGGGCAGCTAGAGCATCGTTTTCAGGCACTCTAGGCACGAAATCTCGAAGAATAAAGACTTCAGCGCTGAGATGGGAGACAGGAATCTCGACCAGGCGCTCATCATACGGGTGTTCGTAGTCCTCCAAGGAATCCCAATGAATACTCCCGCTTCCATTTGCATCCAAGAGAACCGGTAGAGACGGGTAATAGAGTGCGATGTAGACCCATTCGCGATAGTCACCGGCTTTCCGGAAGGACTCTTGTCTTGGAAGCCAGGCAATGGTGTCTTTCTGCAGAACAATGAGTTCTGGAAAGAAAAGGCGACCTGAGCCGTCAAATTCGTATCTTTTGCGAATCCGACTGATGGGAGTCCAGTCGCGCTTCAGGACCACAACGATACCCCAGGGGAACCCCATGGCGTTGTGTGAGATAAAGTGTTGCTTGGTGTGTTTCGGGAGGAATTGTTCAAAAGCCTCAAGTATCGAGTGATCATACGCAAGCTGCTTGAATGTAAAGCCGTTTGGGAATTAGAAGATGCGGGTAGGCAGAGGTGATGTTGTTTACAGGTAGAATACGTGTCGTCGTTGGATTTGTTGTTGTTTCGTGAACATGGATTTACTGGGGAGAGGATACGCAGCAAGTCTTTCCAGAGCGTTTCAAGCTCAGCACTGGAAGTGACGTTAAGAAAAGAGGCGTTTTCCCATCAATACTCTTGATATGTGACTGGTCAGGAACGACGAAGCATCTGCGTCGACCTCCTGCCTCTTGCTTCTGCTAGAACACCAGAGGCAGCAGCCACCAAATCATTCTTTCCGAAGCACTTCCCTTAAAAGACCCTGTTGGTTTTGACGAATTTACCAAACTGCAACATTGTATTATCTATTAGAGGATGCTTCACGATGTTACTCTTAAAGGTAGACCAAGATCCTATAGTCGTCCATGACTATGGAGACTGGACTAGCGAGCTGATAATAATGTACAGGACCCTTGAAGCATCGTACTTGCCCACACGACATGTACACCGTCAATGGTTCAAGTACGGCTTCAGATAGCCTAGAGCCGTCACCTCAGACTGCCTCTTCCGTGAGCAGGTTCAAATACTGGCTGCGGAAGTTTCTTTCTGATGAAGCTGTGATGAGGTGTATTACCATGTACTTATGGAACAGTCTGATTAGCCTGGATAACACAATACAATCGATTGATAGTGCTCGATGCCAAGACCTTAGGCAGCTGGTACCGGTTTGACTGGGAAAGAGACTATTTAGAGCAATAGAATGAAAACGGTGTGGCTGGGCTCATGAATTGGACCTCAGGTAGAATCCGTAAACAAGTGCTCTGGCTGTTATATGTCAGAGCAGTTGTGCCGGCTAATTGATCCCCAATGGCTACTCTCAGCACGCCTGATTGCGTTGTAGGTAATCACCGGATGCTGGAAACCGCAGGAGAAATCCGTTTGATGCCTGAATAGGCCAATAATTTTGCTGAAATCCTCGCGGCATTATCTAGCTTCTGAGGTGTGGTAGAAGATGGAAGAAGTGGTCACTTGCTAACTCGCAGGAATCCCTGTCCTGACAAGATGGTGGACAGGCCAAACAGGAGCTGTGCGAGAGGCTCTGGGTAGGGGAAAAAGCCTGGGTGGGAGTTCTCATAAGTATTCCGGTTGGCTGTGCTGAGGGGGAAGATAAAGTCCAAAAAATGTAACACGTCGTTTCATCGTTCATCTGCCATCCTATGAACTGGAAACCTCCGTCTCTCGCATCCACACTCCATCCCCTGATCTTCCGACGTCAAATCTCTCCACTTATGTCTTCCACTTAATTTGACCTCATCCCAAGGTAATCCTGCTACGCAAGCGTGGCGGAAATTGGAGAGAATAAAAGTATAGCCCACGGCAGCATTTGCGCGTGTCAGTGAGGGGTAGATGTCCTCAAATGGAATACCGACTCTATCTGCTTCCGACATAACTTCATGCCTGGAAAGCTTTCTCGCAACGAAAGCAGAAGGTGCAGCCACTCGGGGGTCTAAACACCCCAAAGAGGCGAACCCCGTGATAATGTTATGTATCATCTCGTGAGTTCTTGAGATCGGTCGACGTGGTACGTTCGTGTTTCAACTTGCCCTCGATGAAGTAGACATACGAGTGACAGAGGCAAACCGTCGTATTCGGAGAACCGAAGAAAGCCGGTGGTAGTTAGAATCTTCCATGTCCAGCAAAGCTCTGTAGGGAGTTATCGATAGGATCAGGGCTTAATGGTATCGCTTGGGGTAGACTGCGTCGAAATCGTCGTTCCTCGATTGGTCCCAAACTTGCCAAGTCAATTCCTGTCATGTTAGTCCAATGGAAATGGGATAGAAGTGATCTTCGCAGTAGAGCAATTTTCAAACCTGCGAAACACCTTGCGACTCGCTGGCGAAGTGTCGTCGCCTGCCCCGCGGGTCTTCGTCGGATGACGTTGAGGGTGGTCATGTGACTTGCTCATCGGCCTGGTGGGGCCGGCGGTTTCCGACGCCGTCCGTCGCCACCGCCGTCTTTTCTGTTCCCAATTAGGAATTGTTGGAAAATGGCCAGCAGGGGCCGTAACAAAGATGCTCATCAACTTAGCCAAACTGCCGTGGGATATGGGCTGGTTTAAACATCATTCATGAAGGATGGAAGAGCTTTGTCACGTGACGCTAGATTTTTTTGTGTCTCGGAGTTCAGCCCCTCTCATCCCAAGCGCAAAAAAGCATGGAGGGGCATGGCATGGAATACCCCTCATTCTGCTCTCGTTTTTTTTTCTTTCTCTTTGTGGCTCGGCGGCGCTTCGTGTGAGAGAGGGGTCTTGCGCATGGGCTGGGGCGGGCGATCGCACTCGTCTTGGTCTTGTTTGGTCCTGGCGCCCCCCCTCCTACGTGTCACTGCACCGCGTTGTCCGTTTATGCTGCTGCTGCTGCGAAATCTGGTCGGATGCCCGATAGATTCTCACTTTATTTCGGGAGAGAGACGCCAACGCGATGGCAAATATGCATGCAGCCGCGATACCACCTAGCTGTCCTGGAAATGTCGCTCTGGGAGAACGCGAGAGGATGAGGATAATTGTCCCTTGACGGGCGGCGCAGGCGCTTAGAACGGGTTGTTTAGATACCTTTCACCTGCACGTCACCCTTGAGGCCAGGATCTGTCGGACACCCATGTCTGTACACATTTTTTTTTTTTTTTTTGCCTCTTGTCTTTCTGAGATCAGATTTTTTCCAACCCCGCACCCCGTCAGAAAGCCGCATCAGCCACATTTCTTTTCGGAGTTAATGCACCGACCATTTGTGTGTGAGAGAGAAGAAGATATGGATGGGCCCGCTTGGGTTGGCATTCCCTTGACCGATGAAAGAATAAGCAGCACAAGGAGGATTTGATGGTCGATAATTCCTACGGAAACCAAAGGCAGACAAGGACCAGCCCCACGGAGGAGCCTTGGTTTTGAGGTGGGATGGACCATGGCGACGGCGACGGCGACCACGGCCCCAAACCAAAATGCTACGAGGAGGGGCCCCGAGCACCTGTGTCACCAAAAAGGTATGCAGGAGAAGGCTGTACCTAGCTGTGCCAGAGGGAAAACTGCCAGATACGTGACTCATGCCGAACGATTGGGTTGGGCACACACTCTGACGGTCTGACGGTCCAAGAGAGAGAAAAAAAAAACCTGGGCTTCGTCGAGGGGCAAGGAGGGGCCCAGGTTGGGCTGCGCGGCAACCTACCTTGTGTGTCTGACAGGGATTGGGCGGGGTGGAGGGGCAGACCGCAGAGTTCGAAGCTGTGGATGTCTTATCGTTGGCAAAGTAGATCGAGGTCACTCGGAACAAAGCGCTCCCTCTGGTGAAAATTTTTGTGTGTGTGTGCCAAACGGCGCTGTGTGTCTGTCTGTGTCTGGCCGGTGAGATATGCGTGTGGATGGGACGAAAAGAGAGAGAGAGGCACCTCTCACTTGAGACGCGGCCGATGGTCTGCCTCAAGGTGGACTCCGACGATGAAAAAAAAGATGAAGTGGCCCGACAACGAGGGGAAAGACTCAGGCAGGTCCATATTGCCCCTCCTTGCCTTCCCAAAGAGAAGGCGGCTAGCTAGTGCCCGAGGGAAAATTTGATCGTGATGAATGCGTTTGTTATTGTTCATTACTTTAGCTGGGCTGGCGATTCGACGAATTGACATCACTGGGATCTGCAGCAATGAGGCCTGGAGCTTCCACGGTGGGGTCGATAGGCCAGGATCGTTTGCAGCGCCCCCCGCGACACAGAGAGCGCGGTGAGAGCTGCAGAGTGCCCCTCCATGCCCCCTTACCTGTGACATCAACATGCCATCCATCCTGTTGCCTCAATTCCTGGGACATTCTGGGACAGCAACAAGAGCTGGATAAACGTAGATTGGGCTCTTATGAAGTCTTAAGACAATGAATCAAAGTCGAGAATAGCGATTCTGTTGATAGGAATGAACATCAGAAATCGTCTAGGCAGCTGGAACGGTATAATCATGGTTAGCGACGATGAGCTTTACCGCCCGTCGCATGCCTTAGGCGCAGGAAGGAGAGGCTAAAGGAGGGGTGACACGATACGTACCTGCCTGGAGCGGCCCCGCTTAGTTCGTGCCGTGGCGAGACTGAACCAAGGTACAATGCGTTACTTGTCCGTGAGCCACGATCTGCTAAGCCATCTACTATGTACACTTGGAATAAACAACAACCACCCAACCAACCACAAAAAAACTGAGCCTGTGAGTGAAAAATTCTACCTTAGGGCAATTCGTTCAGGCAAGAGCCTTTGACCCCACCTTCCTGCCTTTCCATCCCTGCAGACTTTGGCGGACTAGCCCACTCCCCCTCCCACCTCTACTCAACCCACTTCGACCCTCTCACACTCCCACTCCACCACCCAACTTTTCCACTCACAAACATACAAAAGCCTCGCTCGCCCACCAAAGCAAAGCTTTTCCCTCCTTCTTCTGCTCTTCGTCGTACATACCGAATCCAAATTTACGGATCACCTGTGCAGTAAGTATTCACCTTACCTCACTCAGCCACTTCTCTCACACATCAACCACATCATCGCGAGAATCATCACTGACTCGACGCCTTTGCAGCTTTTACCTTTCAAACACACAACTCGATCACATCCCACCGCCAAAATGGGTAAGGAAGAGAAGAACCACATCAACGTCGTCGTTATCGGCCACGTCGATTCCGGCAAGTCGACCACCACTGGTCACTTGATCTACCAGTGCGGTGGTATCGACAAGCGTACCATCGAGAAGTTCGAGAAGGAGGCTGCCGAACTCGTTAGTAACACCTTGTCCAATGGTGTCATTATTTGGTTTGCTAACTCCCTCACAGGGCAAGGGTTCCTTCAAGTACGCGTGGGTTCTTGACAAGCTCAAGGCCGAGCGTGAGCGTGGTATCACCATCGACATTGCCCTCTGGAAGTTCGAGACTCCCAAGTACTATGTCACCGTCATTGGTAAGTTCAACTTTGACATGATATCTCTCATTTTGAGGAGCGCCTGCCGTTCTTCGATGAGCGAGATCAAGTTTTATTTTCGCCTTCAGTCGCTAACCTCGACTAAACAGACGCTCCCGGTCACCGTGATTTCATCAAGAACATGATTACCGGTACCTCCCAGGCCGACTGCGCTATTCTCATTATCGCTGCCGGTGTTGGTGAGTTCGAGGCTGGTATCTCCAAGGATGGCCAGACCCGTGAGCACGCTCTGCTCGCCTACACCCTCGGTGTTAAGCAGCTCATCGTCGCCATCAACAAGATGGACACCACCAAGTGGTCCGAGGCCCGTTACGAGGAGATCATCAAGGAGACCTCCGGTTTCATCAAGAAGGTCGGCTACAACCCCAAGACCGTTGCCTTCGTCCCCATCTCCGGCTTCCACGGCGACAACATGCTTGCCCCCACCACCAACGCTCCCTGGTACAAGGGCTGGGAGAAGGAGACCAAGGCTGGCAAGTCCACCGGCAAGACCCTTCTTGAGGCCATTGACGCCATCGACACCCCCAAGCGTCCCACCGACAAGCCCCTCCGTCTTCCCCTCCAGGATGTCTACAAGATCGGTGGTATTGGAACAGTGCCCGTCGGCCGTATCGAGACTGGTGTCCTCAAGCCCGGCATGGTCGTCACCTTCGCCCCTGCCAACGTCACCACTGAAGTCAAGTCCGTCGAGATGCACCACGAGCAGCTTACTGAGGGTCTCCCCGGTGACAACGTTGGTTTCAACGTGAAGAACGTCTCCGTCAAGGATATCCGCCGTGGCAACGTCGCCGGTGACTCCAAGAACGACCCCCCTCTGGGTGCCGCTTCCTTCAACGCCCAGGTCATCGTCCTTAACCACCCCGGTCAGGTCGGTGCTGGATACGCCCCGGTTCTCGACTGCCACACTGCCCACATTGCCTGCAAGTTCTCCGAGATCCTCGAGAAGATTGACAGACGTACCGGCAAGTCTGTTGAGAACAACCCCAAGTTCATCAAGTCTGGTGACGCCGCCATCGTCAAGATGGTTCCCTCCAAGCCCATGTGCGTTGAGGCCTTCACCGACTACCCCCCTCTGGGACGTTTCGCCGTCCGTGACATGCGCCAGACCGTCGCCGTCGGTGTCATCAAGTCCGTCGAGAAGTCCGCTGGCAACGCTGGCAAGGTACGTTCATCCAACTCATCTTACTCTCATGTCTCCCCATCAACTAACATCATCATCACCAGGTCACCAAGTCCGCTGCCAAGGCTGGCAAGAAATAAGCGATCTGACTCACCAGGGTTGGTTGCTGAGTTCGCCCACGGCCTCACCGTTGTGGCTCACTCACTTCTACGGCTTTACGAATTCCCTTTGCGTGGCATGAGGACATTATGATATGGCGGAAAGCACGAATATCGAGAGGAAGGTTGGACCGGATGATTCTACGTCAAAAAAGCTTCTCATGATACGTGCCTAGTAGCACAAAAATAGAGTCCTAGAAGTGATTCCCAAGTTAAAAAACAACGTTCCAAAATGCTGTGACATGAGGCTCTCGTGATGTAATCTTCATAGCTCTAAGTAACCTCTAATCAGAGACGGGTCCCCTGCTGTTAAAGTGCCTGACTGATCATGGCAAGCCCATTCTCCTGTCGTGGTGCCAGTGAGGCTTTCCACCGTGTACTTGTCCCAAGTATGGCAGTCCGGTCCGGAGGCTTTCATTTGCTTCTCCGCATGCCACCGTGACACTGTGGACCTGAATATGGGCCTTGCCTGTCCCACGATAAATGCTGAACGATGCTCACTTCAATCATTGTCTTTATCTGTTCTGAGTCGCAACTCTCTCGAGTCACTGATGCCTTCACTGGGCAATACTAAGTAGTTAGGCTGACAGAAAAGTTTCAAGGCGAGCTTCTGCCTCCCAAAGCTAATTACTGATACTCAGAAAGGAAGGCATTCGCGCCTTCACCTTCACCAAAGACCGCCCTCACCGCGTCTTTAGTAAACTGTGCCTAACTTTCGGTCAAACAAGGTTCAAATGATTAGGCTTTTTATACATCAGCGATACTACAGTTGATCTACAATTATTTGGTACATGATTTTACAAGTCATCCTTTTTTGGCGTCTCAGCCTCGCCGCCCACAGAAGTCTCAGTCTCAACGTGCTCGTTGGCCGATGCTTCAACATTGTTGTCCACAGGAGTCTCAGCTTTCCCATCCTCTGCCGCTGTCCCCTCTGCAGCTTCTAGCTGCTCCGCAGGAATATCAAGCTCACTCTCACCAACAGTCTGCTCCTCTCCAGCCTCCGCGACCTCAATCTCCTCGACTGCCGCCGCCATCGTGCCTTCAACTTCCTTGAATTCTCTCGTAAGATCCCTCTCTCCGATCCACTTCACAACTCCGCCTCTCACAAAGTCCTCCGCGATGTCGAGGTACTTCCTCGCGTAGGCCTTCTGTTCGTATTTTGACAAGCTCGCGTCGGCAGGTGGTGGCACAGCCTCAAAGTTCATCTGAGAGCGGCGACCGCCGTGCAGACCGGCCTCGATACTCGCCAACTGGATCTTGTGACCCTCGTAGCCCACCTCGAGAGTCCTGCGCATCTCGAGACCGGCAAACATGTACTTTACGGGCCCGGAAACGCTGCCGTCATCCTTGGCGAAGGGAAGACCCGACAGCTCGACCTCGGGCGGCGGGCGCAGGCGTCCTTCGAGGAGATCCAGCTTCGCGGCCTCAATGTACTCGCGGAACGCAGACGTATCGAGGGCCTCTGGTGACATGGTGGACACCAACGGCTGCGAGAGCCGCAGGTCGACGGGTTCGGAGGGGTACGCGACGTCGGTAAAGGTCTGGCTAAGGGTAGCGACGAGGCGCTTAGGAGTGGCGTCCCACGCCAGGGGGCCTTCGGGTAGGTCGTCCGGAACGGTCAGGTGGAGTTCAAGGAGGTCGGGAAGGTCGTGGGCCGTTTCCTTGGCCATGGAGGGATGAGGCCGGAAATGGAGGAGGAGGGTAGTTATGATGGGGGTTTCCGGATTCGCAGAGGTGACTGACTCCACGATGGGTGTGAGACCTGCGGGAGGCGGAGAGCTAGGTGAGAAGATGTGGTTCTTGGTTTTGGCTGCCTTGGCGATTGAAAAACTTCCTTCGTCATACTTGTGGAGTATTTGGCCAAAGGAAGCGGTTGTCGAGACGTACGGCTTGCTCCAAGGAGCATCTGAATCCAGAGCCGGGGCCTCGGTGGTCAGAGGCAAAGGCAAAACGTCGCCCTCCGTGATTGTGAACGCCTTGTCGGTTAAATTTTCTCGGCCGGCTTGCTTCACCCATCGAGACCACTGTGTAAGCCTCTCCTTCCACGAGAGCTTCTCGTTGCCGCGAGGCTCGGCGACAAGTCTTGCCTTCTTCACATTGGACTCATGTTTCAGGGCGATGGACTGTTCTCTCGGGAAGAGGGCGGAATGTAGCAGACGCTGAACAATATGGCCCAGTTGTTCACCCGTTTCGTCTTGGTCTACCTGTTCACCAAAGGCGACTTCAGTGTTCCCGTGTTTGATCCACGACACCTCAATCTGCTCGGCTGTTAGTTGTAGTCATAACTGCAATACGACGAGTTAGACGCACCTCTTTACGCTTTTTACGGTCGATGAAAGTATTGGTGAGCTGACCCAAGTTCCAGAGTAACTTCCCGTCGACCTCGCTATTAGCAAGCCAATCGGCTTTGAAGTTCTTCACAATGATGGATTTGGTAGCTTCGTCCAGCCTCTGAAGAACTGTCTGTGTCTTGGCCTTGGTGGCGTTAATCTTTAATATCGAATCCGAGATGTCAATGGTTTCGCCTGGATCGAGATAAGCCTCCCTGATGGCATCCAGTCGCTGTTCTCGGTCTATTTGCATGTTAGACAGCACTGCCGTAGCTGGGTCGCATTACTCACTCGTAAGTAGCGCAAAGAACCGCTCATCAATCCGCCCACTCAAATAACCTTGGCCGTCGACAATCTCTCTCATGGTCAAGCGCCAGGCCTCCAGCATGAGAGTCAATCCCAGCCTCTCCTTGGCCGAGCCGTCGATTTCGACGCTTGCCACAGGGGTCCAGGGCGTCAACACTTCTACAGAATCGTAGAGCTGCTTCGTCTTCTCCTTGGGCGTAGTAGCAGCTCTCGCGTTCGCACGGCTTACATATGCCCTGAGTTGGGCAACTGTGAAGCCATTGATAAGCACATCAAGCAGCGTATAAAAGTCATCGTACGAGACAATGGGATCGGAGGGCCGGATCTCTTCAAGGTTCGACAGTGCCTCCTCCATCGTCAAATCCTTATCTTCAGATGCTAGGCTCTGGCTGATGTCGAATGCCTCGGGAATGAGCTCTTCAACGGGCAATTGCTTAATATTCCGGTGGCTGCGTCTCATGTCGCGCATGACAATCGCTTGTGCCTTTTCTCCCAGCATATCAACGTCCAGTGCCTCAGATTGGAGGTACACACTACGATTGCCAACGCGACGCCTTGAGACTCGGTCGAGGGGGTCTTCGCCGATGTAGTATCTTGTCAAGAGAGGGCCGCTTCGCTTCGTCGGCCCACGGGACAAGGTGGGAGCTTCCGGTTCGGTTTCGATCGATGCGCCATCTCCTTCTACTATTTTGGGTGACGTCTGAGAAGGCTGGTCTTTCGTAGATGAGACGTCCTTCTCAGGCACCTGCCTGCTTGGCGGTTCTTCATCCCTCCCTTCTGAGATTCTGGTAAGGCGCTCCCATGCTGATTCGGAACTATACGTCCGTCGCTCGAGGAGCTGGGTTCGAAAAGGGGCGATTCGGAGTGAGCTATGAGCTCTCGGTCGGTCGAGGATTCGTAATTGGCATCGCAGGCATACACCACGAGCAAACACTACTCGCGAAATCATTTGAAAGAAAGAAATGCAGAATAACGCTGTATGAGCATTCACATGCCTTTGCGAACATACAACCATGTCACTCAGACCAGAGCTCCCAAATTTTTGCGACAGGAGCTGGATGCGATAAGATAAGAGATAAGATAACGTGGCGCGAACCTGCAGGTGCGAAGGGTCTGAAGTGGCACCGCGAAGACCGCGTCCAGTCGCGTCAGATTGCAAGTTCACCGAATTTTACCTACCAGTACAGTCGAATGGCCTACGCTTTGGGTTTCTTCTAAAACTGAATTGAGAATCCGCATTGTTAAGATTCCGTTGTCAGAATTGGAGCACCTTCGTTCCATTCAGAGCCAACATGCCTCCCTCACAAAGGAGGAGACGACCCGTATGCCCCGCGCTAAATCCTCAAGGCTCGCACCAGAGACTAACAGCACCCAGGTCGACGACGAAGACTCAGACGAGGAACCAAGACACCCGAGACAAAGGCGCAATAATGACGAATCTGCTGAAGAAGAAGGATCTGAAAATGGTGCTGTGGACGCCGAAGCGAGCGCAGAGGACCAACTCTCGAAGAAACTGGTGCGATATGCGCTGGCCTGCGAATTTTCGCGAACGCCTATCCGTCGAGACGGTATCAAGGAGCGAGGTACGAAGATACGATGGGCTCGTAGCACTGTGAGCATTACTGACGGTCGCTTCAGTACTCGGAGATCAGGGTAGAGCCTTTAGGAAAGTATTCGACCTAGCGCAACAACAGCTCCGCCTCGTCTGGGGCATGGAGCTGCGAGAACTCGCAGTGAGGGAGAAGTTCACCATGGCGGAGAAGCGACAAGGCAAGTGTCATCTACGACACGACGTCACTTGGCATCCCCCGCTAACACCGCGCAGCATTAAAGTCCGGCTCCCAAGCAAAAAGCAGCTCAGGCGTCTACGTCCTATCTTCGACCCTCCCCTCCCAATACCGCTCCCCGACCATCCTCGCCCCCTCAAAAGCACCGAGCACCGACGCCGAAGCATCGTATGTGGGCTTCTACACCATGATTGTGACCATCATCTTCCTCAGCGGCGGCGAGCTGTCTGAGCAGAAGCTACGGCGGCATCTGAACCGCCTCAACGCCGAGGCGAACGTGGCGGTGGAGAAGACGGAGGACGTGCTGAAGCGTATGCAGACGCAGGGCTACGTCGTGCGCAAAGTGCAGAAGAACGCGGGGACGCAGGCGCAGGACGGCAGTGAGGACATTACGTGGCTCATTGGCCCGCGCGGGCTCGAGGAGATTGGTGCCGAGGGAGCGGCGGGCATGGTACGTTCTGTCTGGGCCGACCAGGCTGATGCGGACCTGGAGAAGAAGATTGGGGCGAGTTTTGGGATTCGCCCGGCTGAGGATGGGGATGGGGATGTAGATATGTCACAGGCTGAAGCTGGGCCCTCGCATTGAGGTGGTGTAGCGGCGTAAAGACGGAGAGGATGTCCATGATTAGTGAGGAAAATTTCGGTGGAACGGGATACCCAAGAAGTAGCAAGCATTCCGAGCGTATGCGTTATGAACGGCCAAAATTGGCAAATGGATTTTTGAGGGTGTTTAACCCTCCATTACTGGTTCCTAAACACAATGACCCCAACGCCAGTGCCCTTGTAATCCTATATCTTTTTCAAGAACCATGCCTCGATAGTCGTCGCTGGTCGTTAATCTTCGCGTTGTGGTGGTGGACCGGCAGGTTGCATCATTTTCTATGAGCAGTTAGAAAGCATGTCTCGAACCATCTAGAATTAGGCTTCAACATACCCTGATTAACCTCGCGCGCAGAAGCTGTGTAGGCTCGTTCTCAGCCAAGGCCATGTACGACAGCATAGGGGGGTGGCCGGCGATGGATGAGTAGGTGTCGCGGTAGATATTGGTCTTCCACTCCCAACTCGTCGTATCGGGGTGTCCGGTGCCAACGTACTTGGCCTGGAGGCGCTCGAGTTCTTGCTGGTTGCGGAGTTTGTCGGCCTATACATGAATCCTGTTAGATGGTTCTCGAGTTCCAACGGGGATGTCAATATACCATGTTGTCTTGTGTTGCTGAAGAAGAATGTGGATGGTGTTTACAAGATTGTAAAGCCTCAACGCACTGGACTGTCTTCCATGGATGCGCCGGCTGAAGCTCGGCAGACGTTCACCGAATGAAGCTGGCTGGAAGGGACGTGCGCGCTTGAGCTGCCTTCGCCTTGAGGACCCACTCCTTTCCAACTCAACCACGGACTTCCCAGTCTCCTTCAACTACTTTACATCTCAACATAAGCAAAGGGTTCATCAAACGAAGGATATTGCATCTCATTGGTATTATCTCCTACTCTCATTGAAGAATCACTCTTGAGAGGACGAAATCCTCAGATACTCTTTTCTCCGCCAACATCTTTCGTTGCCTACGACAACCACAGGAACAAAGCCAGTATGAGCAAGAGCCAGATCCAGCAGAGGGTCTTGCAGACCAAGCGGAAACAGCAGAGAAATGAGGCCGAATCCATCGAAAAGTTGAAGGTCAAGTGCGCGGAGGATCACAGCAAGGCCCACGTTGCGCACTGCAAAGACTGTTACGGGGAGGTTGTGGAAACGATGAGAAGTAGATATGCCGATTCCAAGGATGAGTGGTTCTCCGACAACAAGGCCTTCTTGAGTGATCTCGACGGCTTATTCGCCAAGCTGAGAGACTTTACGGAAGATCTCAAGTCCATCGAGGCTCGGATCGACAAGGAAAAGCAGAGGCACTACCGCGAGACTCTACCTAAATCGGTTGCAGGACAGATCACCGAGGCGTCGATTGGCAAGGAGGAATTCCAGGCTGCATTGGACGACGAGCAAAAACCCACCACTGCTCTCATCGAGGATGTCCGAAAAGTCGTCGGCAAAGGGGGCAGCAATTCTCCAGGTTTGGAGGAATTAGCACCGAAATTCGACGACCTTCCGCCAGAGAAGGCAACTGATGTCCTCATTGACGTCTTCTTCCGCGACCCGAGCACGGGCGAGATTCCGGCATCATGCAGCAAGTACGTTGAGAAGCTGCGGTCCGGATCGTCCATTGACGAAGTGATGGGGGCCATGCAGGCCGACAAGTCGGCGAGGTCCAACGCTGCTGGGAATATGGACCGGCACAAGCGGACACTGAACGAGCTTAAGAGGGCGCAAGCGGCACATGAGCAGGATAAGCTCCTGAAAGCTCAGAAGCGGCAGCAGCCTCCGCCTCAGGGTCCGCAAGTCAACAAGGAACTGTACGATCTTCCGCCTTGCCTCGCTTGCTCCGGCAAGGTGTCGTCAGAGGTCATCGCGTGCCCTTTGTGTTTGATCTTTGCCGAGCTGAGCCTCACTAAGAGGACAGTCTTCGACTCGGAGAAGTGTTACGACGAGGCATATGTAAGTCAATCCCTATCACTGCAGCGACTACGTTGGTAGGCTAACAGATGATACAGGACGAGCACGTGAACACGGCGCACAGCTGCGCGGCAGGCAAGGGATGCATCCAGCTCAAGGAGGAAGACGAGGAGATGGGCGGTAGTGGCGAGGGACCTGTGATCTGTGAAGAATGCGCGGAACAGCTTGGACAGAGTATAGTGTACTGTTCGTCCCGCTGCGCAAGCTCGGATTTCCAAGCCCATCGAGAGGGAGTTCACATCCCGAATTGGAAGGGACTCGGTATCGACCTTGGCACTCAGGGGGAGCACTTGGTCTATGACAATGATGAGAAGACCAAGTATCACGTCAACGATATCTCCAAATTCGTCTGGCGCCTTGACGATGCATTTGATCGCGTCTTCAAGGGGAACAACCCTGATATCAAGGATTTACAGCGATAAGGAGACGCTCGTCAGCATGTCTCCTTTGAAAGCTCTCAATGGACAGCACGACAGCTGACGAGGCGAATCTTGTCCGTGAGGTCGACTTGCTCCAATTTATCACATTCAAAAAACAATGACCTATTCCACCAAACCTCCCAATCCAGATGAGTGTATCAGAGCGTGGTTTAACGAGGCTCATGGTGACGTTTCAGAAAGCCACACTGCCACTCCAAGACTCCGACGTGGTTCGGAACTTATCGTCAGCACCAAGGCCAAAGCCACAGCCACCGCCATTGAAGCACCTAGAGCTAGTTAGGTTCGGTAAAGACTCCAAAAGACCCCTGGAATCCGCCCTAAGAGCGGAGCCGCCTAAGCCTGACGCATGCAACTTCCCCCAAGGCACCGGCCAATCAACAACATCCGAACGTCGCCGGAGGACTCGCTCAACTCATTCGCCGCCCTTTTCCTCAACCCATGTCTCTCTGCCCCGCGAAATTCCCAATGTGCCGAATATTATGGTTCTTGTGGAATTACACCCAACTCACTTCCAACCCCCATTCGCTCAGCTGCAAGACATCCAAGGCGTAAGCTGAGCTCTGAGCTGCTCAGATAACGCTCTCATTCATCTCAGCTCCACCATCATTCCCTTTGCTTGGTGTAGCTTCGCGGGCAGTGGATCTCAACTATACTCTCCCAGCTCGTCCAGATACGGGAAGGCATCAGTCGCTTTGTCTTCATCTCTCTCACTCCCCGCCAAGCTTCTCTTCAAACATCTTCGGCACTTGTTTGCCTATTTAGTCACTTCACTTATTCCGGGCCGAATATCCGAGCACCCCCATACACCCCGATCCGTCACTCCGTGTCGCCAACACATCATGGAGCCCGGTACCGATCCTGACGCCGGTGCCAACCCGCGGCAGAGAGTGACCAATGCCTGTGAAGCGTGCAGGGCAGCCAAGGTCAAGTGCCAAACCAGCGTGCAGCTGGGAATATGTCGAAGGTTTGTTGTGTGTGGCCACCCTAGTCCCGGGCGGTACTCCTCCGAGCTGCCCCGGCGTATAAGTCCATTCATCCGTATGCTCACCAGCCGCCCGAACAATCCAGATGTCTCGACTTCAAGAGAGAATGCATCTTCCGCACCGGTCCAAGGACCCGTCGTCCACGGCAATCTAAGCAGTAAGCTCTCGTCACCTTCTTTGTATCCATTACCTGCTATTGTGTGATTTCTCAGCTTCAGATGAGTTTACCGCCTCACCAACCATACTCACATGCTACAGAAACCAGGACGCACCCAGGCCGCCTCCTCCACCGGGACCCTCAAAGACGTTCAGCATCGACTTTGAGATGCCCCAAGTGGAAGAGCCCGACGACCTCGAAAGCCTTGCCGCCCGGCACGACAAGTACGTGGACGAGTTTCTACCACCAGAGTCCGACCTAGAGTCCATAGAGATGATGTTCGGCCTCGACGCCGGCTCCGGTAGCGGTCCCCACTCGTCCATCTCGTCTCCACCGTCCTCGGGCCCGTCCGTCTCGGTATCGAGCTTCGGTCTCAAACCGCAGTTCAACCTAGATTCAGCAGAAAAGCTGCTATCAACTTTCCGCGTCATGCTCAAGCATTTTCCCTGCGTGGCACTCCCGCCCGATGCCACAGTTACTTCGCTTTCAAAGACGAAACCGTTCATGCTTCTCGCCATCCTCTCGACGGCGTCTGCTACCAGTGCATTGCAGGGCCACACTCTCTACGACGAAGAGTTTCGCAAGATTCTGGGTCTCAAGTTCGTGGCCGGTGGCGAGCGGACGCTAGAACTCCTCCAAGGGTTGCTCATCTATACGGCATGGTGAGCTTGCTATAACTGACTGACCCCCCTTTGAGGCAAACACCCCCTTACACAATTCAGGTACCCCTTCCACCTCCGCCCAAAGAACAAACAAGCCTTCCAATACGTCCGCATGGCAGCCGAGATCCTCCACGATCTCGAGCTGAACCATCCACCTAGCCAAGGCGCAGGCTCACCTGCCGGCGGCGGCGGGACGGCCTCGTCATCGTCCTCTGCGCCAGATCAAATGGACGGTATTCGTGCCTACGTGTCCTGCTACTACCTGGTGTCAGCGCACGTACTGCCCTTCCTGCAGTATTTTCGCCGCACGACTCTGACCGATGCTAGGTTCGCAATGGCCTGGGCCAAGATGGCGATCCTGGCCCTCGACTACACATCATGGACGGCCACCTGCTGCGATCTGCTCGAGCACAATTCTGCGCTCAAGGGCGATCACACGCTCGCGTGGCTGGCTAGGCTGGTTCATATTACCGAGGAATCGGCTGCCATCGCAAAGAGTATACCGCAAGGGGATCAGGCGAAGCAGCAGGTTCACTTCATGTTTCTCGGGCTCGAGAGCCAGCTGAGGGAGTGGCAAGGCAGGATACCAACCAGCCTCGGCGACATCAGTCAGTCTCCATTCTCCCATCCAACAACGCACAACCCTCCTTCCTTATACTAACTCAACCCGTCCCCAGACTCCCTTACACTAGCCAACCTATTCACCGAAATGTTCCTCCTCGCCGGCCCAGTCTACACCCTCCGCTCGACAGCAAAAATAGGCGACAGCGACCTCGGGCCCCCGATCCCAGCCCACCGCCTCGACAAGTGTCTCACCCTCCTCCGCACCCTCCTCGACTTCATGACCAACCTCCCAGCCGCCGCCTTCGTCGAGCTCAGCTCCATCGACTGGGGCCGCTTCATCCAGGCCGTCATCCTCGCCATCCGCCTCTCCTTCCCCATGCCGCTCTGCCCGGAGTGGGACCACGCCCGCGCCCGCGAGCAGCTGCAGTTCGACTCGTACCTCGCGCGCCTGTGCGCCAACAGCGAGGCGCCGACGCTGACGCCCGCGACCAAGAGCACCATGGACGTCCTGTCTGCGGGGAAAGTTGTCTTTTCCGTCGTCAAGCGCAAGTACGAGGCTCGCGTCGCGAACATCGAGACGCCGGTGAATAAGCTGCCGCGGACGATTCGCGGGTGTCCGATGTTTGATGGGAGTCTGGATCAGTATTTCCCGATTTGGGATCAGGATCTGAATAGGGACGGGACGCATGGGTTGGTCTCTCCCGCGACGAATGGGACGCCTGTGATGGTGAATGGGCAGCCTGTCTATCATGACCTGTGGGCGACGATGACGATGAACTGGCCTGATGGTATGGCTGGTGCTGCTACACCCGGGTTTGATCTGGGCCAGGCCCAAGATCCGACCATGAGCCTCGATCCTTCATTTCAGGGGGCCATGGACCTTGGCCCTTCTCCTAGTGGTAGCGGGTGAGGTTGGTTTGGTCTGCAACATTTGGCGCTTTTTGTCGTCCGGGTCATTTTGAGTAGCGGCGGCGAACCTATTGCTCTTGAATGGCGTTTAGATTTGGGTCTCTTCTCATTATTTGGCGAGCGAGATTTCGACTTCATCACATAATCCGCATTAGGGCGTGGACGAATTCGGCATCATGTGTTCCAGTCTGATAGAAGAATATCACATCTCCTGTTTTCTGAAATTCCGTCATCATCCTACCCCTTTTCCCTCATTGACATGTCCACAATGGGCTACATCTCGAAATCGAAACAGCGACAAGATGGCTGCTGCCTGCTCATCGTGGAGTATAAAAAGAGCGCCACGGCCATGGTGAAAGGCAAGCGACCAGTGCCCACATAACAAGGGCAGTATGCTCCGATGTCGTTGATGAGCGAGGGAAGACGCAGCTGCAGTAGTGGTCGGAGTGAAGAAAGGAAAGAGAGAAGACTCTTGACTAGAGAGACAAAGGCTCGTTGTTCGTTCATTTCCCTTGATCCCGCCCGTATTCGTCTCATACTAATAACAGGGTTGTGCATAACGGCCAATAATAGGACTGTCGATAGCGGGGATAGTAATAGGACTTTGGGAAAAGGGGAGCACGATAGGACTATAAGAAATAGGGATACTAATAGGACTATTAATAGCGTAGGGAACAATAGGACTTTAAGTAACTAAATAAAGAAAATAACAAATAGGATTATAAATAACGAGGAGAATAATTAGACTATAAGTAATAGGGCGCTATTATAGCTTCTCTTAGGAACTCGCTTCTTTAGTCTATATATAATAAGATAATAACCTTTTTTATATCCTAAGTAGTAGAGCGTAGAGGGGGAATGTCTAACGGCCGGACGTTAAGCTCCGTATTACTTAGAAGAGGCACTGAGCTAATATATTACTACCGTATCTAGGTATAATAAGTCTTAACCTCGTCTATTAAATATATAATATTATAACGCACCTAGCTTATAGTAGGTCTATTCTTAATAATATTACGTGTCCGTATATAAATAATATCGAGTTAAAAAAATTCGAGGGACAAAGCTCTCTATTATAAAAGCAAAGACTCAGCGTTCGTTCACTATCCGTGATCCCGTCCGTATTCGACTCACGCTTACAACAAATATCACGACGCCAACGAAGCGGGATGCTGCGAACGGACGTTTACCTTGTATGACAAATCCACATGAGAAGACTAGGAGCACATACACACACATAGACACCTCACCGCGACTCACTCGGCAACAACGGCTTGGAGATTGGACAAGGAGCACATTCCTTCCATTACAAGATTGGCGATGATGAAACTAGGTTGGCTCGGCGTTGAATACTTGTATAGCTGTTCAGGAGATGGGCAGGGGGGACATTTTGGCCTTGCCGTTTAGGGCAGCGGTGACAACGACCTTGGGCTTGGAGCAAGCCAGGCAAGAACGCCAAGGGTAAACTCGTGGTTGAGAATGGTATCGTCGAAGCTCATACCTTAAGCCAGATTGTTGGAAACCAATTTATTCCATTCAGTGGAATCTCACATATCGCTTACGCTTATAACAAGATGGACAAGAACGTCGAGGTTTGACTCGTCATTTCGAATTTCATCACCATGTTGAAATCATGGGAGAGTGGACATTTAGCGCTTTGAATGTCCTAGAGGATACATGTAGTAGACGCAGTAGCGACGTAATTGTCTAGTTTTGAAAGATATAGAAACTCCCTTTTCGAAATGGAGATTCTTTTTCCAAATGTGTTCATGGCAAACATAAGTCTGCTTACAGACCGACTCCTGCTTGGCAATGATATCTCTACTTCGACTGTTAACCTACATGAAGCATCGCGTAATATGAAGCCTCGTATATGCTAGCCTTTCCTCATCTTCATCTCTCACATGGCTACCATTAGTCAAGGTGGGCTTTCCAAGTAGGTATGGTTGCATTCATCTACGACGAAGTGTGTCGCCAACGTCTTGATAACTCAGATTATATTGAATGAGTCCTGGGCTTACATCTTCGCCTAGCGTGAACCTTCTCTTCTCAGCCACTTGAACTGATTATATCCAGCTGATCTATCCTTGGCCCTCACTATAAACTACGCACATGGTCATCATGCAGAATAGCCGCTTGTCTCCCACCGCGAACCGGCCTCGTCAGAATCGAAAACACATCCCCAATCCACCCAGTCCACCCCCGAACATACTCAACCGTATTCAACACCCGAATCCACCTCCACACAAAAGCCTCGCAATCCTTATAATCCTCCGCATACACATCCCACACCGCAACCTTCCCCCCCTTCCTACCAACCATCATCACCTCCCCGTCCTCATCCTCCTCCACCAACCCCAAAGCATCAACCTCCGGCCCAACAAGCAAAGCCCTTCCCACGACCCCCTCATCCGCAACAAGCCTCGTCGCGGCATCGACAACATCCCTCCCCTGCGCCCCGCCCGCCCCGCCACCGAGTAACGCCGCCTCCGCCGCACCGGGGAACATCTGGCTCCCGCTCACAAAGTACGGACACACCATGTTCATCCGCACCCGGTGCCGCAAATACGCCGTCCCGCGCATCGCACGGAACAGACCCGTGACGGCGTGCTTGGACATGGTATACGGCGCCTGGCCCGGGAAATGCCCCACGCCCGCAACAGAACCCACCAACAACAAGCATCTGTCGCGGGGCGTGCCACCGACACCTGCACCGGTACTGTTCCCGTTCCGCGGAAGCCAGAAGAGGGCGAGGTGCGTAGTGTACGATAACCCCGTGATGTTAACGTCAATGATCTTCGTCGACGGCTCCCGCGGCGCGTCCGGGTCCGAACTCGAGGCCAGAGGCATCTCAAAGCGCCCATTGGCGCCAGGCTCGTTGACGCCCGCGTTGGCTACCACGACGTCGATGGCGCCGTTCGGCGAGAGGCGTGCGCCTTCCTTGAAGAAAGAGACCTGTGATTCCCAGGACGTGACGTCGCAGGTGACAAAGTGGTGTGATCCTCCTTTTCCCCCTTCTTGTCCTGCTCCTCCTCCCCGCTTTGAATACTCGGCGCGGAGTTCGGCCACTAAGGCCTCGCCCGCGGACGGGTTAATGTCCCCGACGATAACATTCGCTCCGTGCGAGGCCCACTCCCTCGCAAACGCCGCGCCGAGGCCGAGGGCGCCGCCGGTGATGAGGACGGTTTTGCCGGCGAGGGTGGAGGGATCGTAGGGCTGCGTCGTGTCGACGGGTGGCGAGAGGTTCGTCACGGGGATGAGGTTGTGGTAGCCCTGTGCGACTGTCATGATGGATGGAGGAGGAGGGGGACGGGACGCGCAGGCGCAGGCCGCAGGGCGTAACAGGCGCGTGTGAGAGCGGTTGAGCGGTGAGTGAAGGGCGGGAGGAAGCCAAGTGACACGCTGTTGTGAGACGTTTGATTTTTTTATTTAATTCTTTTTGTTGAGATGCGGGAGGTTGCAGTAGTTGATGAGTAAACGTCCCAGGTGACTTGGTGGTGGTGAGTTGAAAAGGATCACATCAAAAAAGAGTAAATGCCTTTTACGTATGAACTTATCTTTTCATGCATTTAGTAGGGAGAAGAGATTCATGACTACTACAACTTCTTTAAAATCAGAATTCAGCCAGGTGTTCAGATTAGGTATCAAATTATCCCTAACAAGCCACGCGATGCGAGGGCGGAAACGACACAGGAAGAAGTGGACTGTAGCGAGTGGACTGACGCGGCCAAAGTGCCCATCCGTTGGGTAAGAATCTGACAGCGTCGCTAGGTACGGATACTCTGTAAGTGTCAGGTAAGCACCGTATACCGTAGCGCGCTGCGGCTGAAAATTACGAGACCCGAGCCATGTATGTCGCCTCTCTCGGCTGGCAGGATTCCCGTCCCTGCATCAGTTTGTGTGCGCGAGAAAAGGTGGGCAAAAAAAATAAAAGGGGCGGGGAGGAGAGGGGGAGCACAGCTGGTCGTTGCAAAAGATGACGACGGCGGATCTTTTCATCAAGAGGTCGTCTCCGCCCCGGTGGCCGGCACGAATGTCCCAGACCATTCGGTCGGGCAGAGAAAAGAAAAACACGGAGCGGGGCACCGGAGCCTTCAACTTACTGTGGTAGAGAGAGGGTCCCGCCATCCCGTGGGAGGAGACGTTTGAAGAAACTCTTTTGATAAAGATCAACTTTCGAGTCAGGGAAGGCAAAATAGCATGCAACTCTCGCCGGAGCCGCTTGACCTAGACGGGCAGATAGGTACGCGTCGGCGGGGGCCCAGCGGGCGTCGAACCCGTGTTCGAAGCCTGTAATCGGGCTGAGGATCCTTACTCTCTGTACGGAGAATCTGTATGTCCATACTTCGTACTCCCGTTGTTAGCCCGTCTTCGTAGTCAGCCACATGCTTAAAGATTGAAGCCGCAGGTGCCTGTCGACAAGCAGGACGAGGTTAAAAAAGTTGACCCTGGAGATAAAACCCCAGACGGAGTGTGGCATGGGGCTCTGTGGGCTCCGTGCCAGGCTGATCGCGCACCCCCCCCCCCCCCCTTGACACCGAACCTGCCCCTCCCCCCTCCTCGCCAAATGTTTCGGTTGTCTCGGGGCCTGCATATAGTTGCTGCTGCCCGTGAAGTCTCTCTCAAAAGTGTGTGGCCCAAATTTAGACTCGATGGGAAGGAGACCGAGGAGGGTGTTATGGTTGCGGCGGTTTTCGGATGAGTGCTGTTTGGTATGCTGCAGCTCGCACGCTTGTTGATGACAGAAAGAAGGAACTTGGGAAAACAACCTTGGGAAGAGGCATATTTTGCCTCTCGCAGGCACGGATTCCTGTCGCTGGAGAAGGACCCTTGCTTTGACATTCCTCGAGATACCCAGCCTGCCCGAGCCAAAAAAGCAAGACTTGCTGACGGCCAGGCAACCCTGTCTGCCCAAGACCGCGGAAGCCCCCCGAGTGGTTGACTGGAAAGGGGACAGAGATTCAGAGGTCAGATGACCTTGACTTTGAGCAGACAGAGTTGGCCACGCCTCTAGGTACCGGTATCCGTACCATGGCTTCCGCTTCCTGGGCATTCGGTAATGATATCCACGCCCGGCAGTGGATCGTGGTTCGAACCAGCCCCTTGGGCTTTCGCGAGCGCGAGAGCCCAGAATCACGGAACAGACGCGCTCCGGTTGTCTTGCGCATGCCACCATCCGGAACCTGAACTGTTCATGTGGGTTTGGCCTGTGATCGGTGCAGGATCTGTAATGATAATAGGTATGGGCTCTCTGCTCTGCACAAACAGATATCGCACAGCCCGGGCCTGGCGGCGGCTCGGCGCATCGGCCACCCGAACGCCTGTCTTGTCCAAAGTCGAGAGATGATGGTGGGTTGTTCGCTTCAGTTCCCAAATGCTCCAGACTCTTTCCAAGATGCTTGAGAGTTAGCTCTTCTGACCCACATGACAATGCAGGAAATAGCATTGGCTTCTAAACGCAACTGCCAAACTTCAGCCAGCCACTTCCTCCTGTTGGCTTGTCCGCTCGTCTATCTCTCGCGATTTGAGTGGGTCTCGCCTCGAATCTGATGTTTCAATGAAAGCCCGGCCGAGATCAGTGGTATGGGAGGGCTATGGAACCGAGAAAAGGGGAGGACAACTCCCGTGCAGGATACAGTCGGGTTTCCGTAAGCCTTCCAACGTCGGTAGTCATCTGGGCAAGTTCGTGAGAATCGACAGCGCCAAGCTTTCCCAAGAACCCCGCAGACCCCTCCCTCTTGTGAACGGTGGGACAGGCGACTCCATCGTATCGGAAGTCTTCCTGGCGGACACCCTCCCCGTTGGGTGGTTCTGACTCTCCATTTCTTCGTCTTGGGCCGCTTTCAGTCCAGTCGACCCCGCTATCATTCAATCCTAGCGCTTCTTCTTGATCGGACCCCCTCATGAGCGTGCTCATAGTTCGTCATTGTTTGCAGTAGGTAGGTATCTCGCACCATCAGCACAGGAGTTGAAGGCCGGAGAAAGAGTCGCTGTTGTGACAACCAGAGCTGATATTCGTAATCTATCGCATCTTGATATCTCCCCAGCAAAGTGAGCTCGACCTGATACGACGGCCATAGACATTCACTGTCACCTCAGTCAGTACAGATTTGACAACGGGATGGTCGACTACGTCCTTTGAGAGAACCGAGGCTGCTTCAGCTAGATCTCAGGAGACACAAGATTAATGAGTCTATCTCAGCGATGTAGAGGCAGTAGCCAGCCTTCGGCATCACTTTGGGAGCACACCTACGCGGATAGAGATGCGCCGTTGCGGATCATTCACAAGTGACAGATGTCAGACCGAGCCTCAAAGGCCCAGGCCCGACGTTGTGTAGGTCATAGTAGCTGGTTTAGCCGGAGCTGGACACATACCGACAGCTCATCGCTGCTAGGCTCGGTACCTGAAGAGTCATCATGATTGGCAGGCCTACCCACCCTCAAGCAGCCGTGAGAGCCTGGTGTCTGTTCATGAGTCTACGAATTACCGAGTCAAGCTGGGGCTTGCTTACGGACGTTTCCCATCCTTCCCAAGCTCTCCTCGATAGCCCCCATGCCGCTAATATAACCCGGAAGAGGGTTACTCTGAAGACATAAGATTGTAGCCAGTGGCAGGGCCTTCTGCCCAGTGTCATGCGAGAAGCAAAGTTTGGGCCAATCTCTCCAAACGCTGAGCGCTTGAATTCGTCCCAACAGTGCATCTTCCTTGCTAGTTTCAGGATTCTGCATCCGGAAGTGACTGGCCATGGCATCCGTACAGTAGTCCCATGCACGACAAGTGGTACTTTCCAGGGTTGCCGGCCAATGAGACTCTACTTCCAGGAAGTCGTCTCTCCCGTGCGTGATCTAACTTTCTAACGGTTGGCTGACGAACAAAGAACACACACGGTCGTTCAGGAAACGTCAAGATACCAGAATGGCTGCTACTGTATATGGGGCAGTGGCTTGTCCTGAGTATTCGTTCGGACTTGGTACTTTTGCGGAGATTCGATATCGAAAGTTACCTGTAAAAGGCCAGGGCGTCTCACGCTTCGGTCGAACGTGTCCAGCAGAACGTCGATTTCACTATAATTAAGAATGCCAAATACCCTCTGTCGAAGCGACGAATGCAACAGCCAGGGAGACAGGTCAAAACTCGCGGCGCTTGAACTCTAAGTTGAGAGGGAAAGCAAAAAAGGCGAACTTATGCAAGGCTGGAGTTCCTCGAACGTTCCCTACGCTTGGTCAATAGTGAAGTATGTTCACTTGTGTAACCACAGCCTGATGAATTGGTGTTCAAGATGAGCCTCAAGGAGGGGAATTCTTCCAGAGTGAGTCCCCTCCAGGCCACTTCGAAGATAAGAGGTAAGTCGACAGTCTCGAGGATGCCGTGATTCAGGAGAGCAAGTCCGCCCCTGATATGCTTTTGATCGTCGCTTGCGTCCGTATCTGCAATCGCACCAAGCCGGAGAGGAGAATGATTCTCTTGCGAGCTCGTGCTCGCTACGTGACTTCGGCCAGCCACTACTCAAAGTGATGAGTGCCTCACTAACCAAAGAAAGCATGGGTGCCCTTTGTTGTTTCGTTACAATGCCGGAACTGCTGGGCTGCATTTTGAGGCCCTCCAGGAGTCGGTATGTACAGCGGCACATGCTGGAGGGCGGAGGAGGAGGCTCGGTAAAGATGACATGAATCTATTTCCGAGGATGAGTTCACTTCTTGAGCGTTTGGTATGGCGATCGTTTCCAACACACACAGTGCCGAGTTCTCTCTTCAGCCTCGTGTCTCCAGCTTGATGATCATTCCAGTATTCCTGGACTTAGGTTGTTTTCTGAGCTCGTGAAAGGGCGAAAGCGAGGTGGCTCTCGGCTTTGTTTTGGGTAACAATTGACATTCCACGCAGCTTCGTTGTCCCCTTTACCGGGGGGTGGGCTGGTCTTTCAAGCTGTTGATGGGATGGCGAGCGGATGACGGGACAAACCAGAAGCCAGCGTCAGAGAGCATTGGGTCGCAGACGTCGACTAGGCTGCGGTACGGAAACGACTCAAACACTAAACGCGTGACTGTGTAAAGTATTATAGACACACCACGGAATATTACTAAGGAAGATGGCGAGAAAGTAAGGCTCTGCATTGTGATCAGATCCTTGTACATTACCGGTAGATGCCTGTGCTGCAAGCTTCCGGAGGAAGCCCAGAGAAACATGTTGTTATTAGGAAGCTGTGGCTTTGGATGCTTCTGAGAGGAAGGTCTAACAATCAAGCTAGGGAGTACCTCTAGCACATCGTCTACCTCTCATTGCAGTTGTAACGACTTGTATCCGTGAGTTTGATGACTTATGTCTGTGAAAGAATTCAAGTTGCGCCGCATGCTAATGGGTTGCTCGCTTCTGATGGTGGTGAGAATGTGTGGTGAAGTCGATCGAGTATGTTGGTAGTACACCAGGCAGACTTACACTGACGAGCTGGTCATACTCGCCAATCTGCGAGCAGGCAGCTGCCAGAGGAGGCTAAAGAGTGTTGTAGAAAGTCGATATCTCGAGATGATGGTAGCAGCCACCGCTCTCAGTCTAGCCATCCTTATGAGAGTGGAACGACAAACAATGATGAAAGTCATTGAATCGGCCTCCAGTGTTGGTCGGAGAATTTCTCTTCACGCAAGGATCTCATTAGGGTAGGTTGTCGCGATGCATTCTTCGTACTACAGCTCGCCCAATTCCTGTTCCCCCGTGCTGACCCTACGGATAAGCGCGGTCCAGAGAATAGCTTCGTTCATAAACGAGCTGACAAGCGAGAGGCTAGGTCTGCATTGGGTAAGAAAGGTCCTGTCGTACAAACTGTATTTGACTACCCAGGCGTGTCAGGTTTGCCAGGCCAGAGGGGATTAACCGGTTGAAAATATCGTATAACAAGAATGGGAACGTGGGAGTCCACCAACTTGATCCAGAGTAGTGAGCGGAATCCGACTTTACGTGCGTGCACCTTGCGACTTGCACCCGAATTAAGTCTCTCTATCTTCAGATGCACGATGTGCCTGTACCAGCCTGCAGGTAATCGGCTAGTTGAGAGCATGTGCTTGCGACACGATGGGCTCTCTTTGAATATCTTCGGACTTTGAGTGTATCAGCGACAAGCAGAGACGCAGGACAACAAGGATTCGGAGGTGCCCTATGATAGGCGCACTGCCACAGGGAGGAGCAATGTTTGAATAGTTGGTGGAGTCGAGACTGGACGAGTTGCTTCGGGGCGAAGACCGATCCACTGCATTCATCCGCCCGGCCTATCCAGAGGCAACCACCGGGCCGGAGAGTTTTAGAAAAGAGTGGCATCGTGTTGACAGCCGGAAAATCGGAGCTCGCTCGGCAATCCAATGGGCAGCCGTAGTCTCACTTTAGCGTCATCGTGGGAGACCGGCCATGGTCGGTGTGGGTGACTACTTGAACCGGTCAGCCAGCAGTACCGGGACATTCTGTCAAAACTCAACGCAGCAATCTAAAGCGAAAGAGATGTCCAAGGAAGAGGGAATGACGCCACAATTCCCAGGCCCCATCTGCAGGCTGAGAAAAATAGAGGGTGCTCAACGCAGCGCTTGAAGGAAATCATGGTCTGGGGGGTTCTACATCGCTGTCATACCTTATCGAAACCACACTACCTATAGCTTGTCAATTACCTTGTAGATAAAATCTTTCACGTTGCTTTGCGTTTCAGACCAATTTCTCCATCTTGAAGTTTGATGGATAGAGAAATGCTTTCCATAGCCTCCTTCAACTTGGATTGGCTTCGAATCCATCTCCTGGCGGACGCTTAAAAGACAACCTGGCAGTCTCGACGGCATGACGGCCAGCATCGCGATTGGCAGTTGACATTCACACGTTCAAACTCCTGGCTGGACTGCATTCACGTATACTCTGACCGTAGCGATATGTTGAGGCGCAAAAGTTTTGACTGCATATCGGACCTGTAACCAAAGGGTGCGTCCATATAGCTTGCCTGCAGATATATGTGTGGTCTGCTAATAAGGCGTTTCGGGGGGTCTCACCACAGAAGTTTGATTATCTGCATTTGACGGCACCAGCAGGCTTGCGCCTCGGCGCATGCAGGATGTGTGAGGCGGGAACGGGTGAGGGATGTTTTGAGTACCGGCAGGAGGGCTGACGATGTCTGGAGTCTAAGGCGCGGCACAGACTCGAATCCCCAGAACTCAAATTATACAACGTTGACGGGTCGGGGCAGAAAGAATGACCAGATGTGAGGGCAATTCGAATATCACCGGCGGTTCCAAGGATCTTGGCAGTCGGGCGCCGAGGACCATGAGCGAGAAAGTGCACGTACCCTCCAACCTTGGCCAGACATGGCCTACGGGTACCTAGCTGGCAGCTCCCCCCACAATTGTACCAATGTGGAGGGTATTTTGAGTGCCTCACGGCGAACGCACAATGACGGCCCATGATGCAGCGATGCAGTTGAC